TTTGCTACAACACAACATAGCACTATAGCTCATATTTGGTCAATTAATCATGCAAAAGACCCTCATAGAATGGGTGATAGTCCTGAGGCAAAACAGACTGCAACTGCTGAAGATGCTGGTACTTAGACGACTTTATCTTAATTGGTCCGGAGTACAATCTTGGTATTGCATCTATATCAGGTGATGCAGTAGATATTTTTGACCTTCTTGGGAGATCTGAATATTCATCATTATAGTTTATTTTGTACTTTATTATTCCATCTGGAGTGTACTGTATAACTCGCAAATTAGTTACAACTGGATCACCTACTTTCGTTCCAGGTCTAATAGAATTGTAATAGCCAAGTTTGGCACAATCAGAAAAAAAGGTGTGAGACAAATAAAATACTTTGTAGGGTTGCTTGGGGCGGACAGACTTGAATCAAATCAATGTGACTCTGGGGGCAGTAGATAGGTCTGTTTCTGATCTTTTGTTCAATTGTCCTGTGAACACTGTCCACTTCCATCTGAGTGTGACCTTTCTCCAAATACTTCTGGACTATGGTAATATCGTTGTTGGCTGCACACTTGAGCAGGGTGTTAGACATGGTAGTGTTACGGTTTTGGTACGTACACCCGTCACTGTAAATTATGAGCGTTTTCACTTTTGGCGACATCATCCTTACATACTCGAATATGCATGAAGCAAAAGTATTGGCTGTTAGTTCACCTTCGCCTTCATGCCAAAAGAAGCATGTTACATCTTTAGTAGCCAAATCGTATATCGTAAAATTGTGGCATGCCAGCTTGGTTTTATAATACATTGCTGATGCTTGTAATCGAGGTGATAATAATACAGCCTGTAAATCCATGGTAAGTACCTTGACAGATTCATCATTTTCAGCAACAAGCTTATCTTGAACCTTAGATAGCCGTGCATCAGCCTTCCGCTGGATGTGATTGTCGTATACATCTTTAGTCAGATTCTGATTCTCGAACGCACAGCAAACATCACACTGATCTTTTTTTGGTCGAAAGAGTGCCAAATTTAACTCATCAAAGACACTGTGGAATGCTTTCTTACAAAGAGCAGTACCAGCATTTGACAAACAATGATCTTTGTAAATTCTATATAGATCTTCAAATGAAACGAAGATGGGCTCTAAATATGATTTAGACGTTGATGATCTGCAGTAATGTGGAGGTAATTTGCATAAAGACTGCAGAAAATCTCTAGCTTGATCATGTTGAACTCCGGTTGTCTTCAGTACCTTTGTGATCTCTTTGGTGCCTATTTCCGCCTTAGGCAAAGTTAATGACAATGAACTCTCGTTTTGACTATTTATCATTCTTTCCATACAGACCATCTGTCTTTCTTGAACACGTAACATTTGTTGCAAGGATCATTTTGTTCCTGGCAATATCTTGTACTTCCAATAGATTTTTCTCACGATTTCATCAATCAAATTATCCTCAATTTTCTGATTTTCTACTGTATTTGTATTGACATTTTGGGCTGGACTACTGTTGACAAATTTACCGACGGTAGACAATCTATTTCTGTTCTGTTCCCTTGGGTGTCCAGGTATAAATTCATTCGCAAGTGGATTCCAGTTTGACGTTGATGGGATTTCATGCCTGTAATGATCCTTCATTGCCTTGGATACCATCTGTCGTGCTTCTACTTGAGCTAATTCATTCCTGCATTTTAGGTATTCTTCTCTTTTAGCCAATTCTATCTCTTCCATACGTAAACTAAATCTTTGTTCTGACAACTTCTGCTCTTCCGCT